CACTTGTGTAATAAATATGGAACATGTCAACTTAAAAAAAAAAAGAATAATTAGTATAATAGCTTGGTACCATTACTTTGGATTTCCCAGCATCTACCCTCTTTTGGATGACTGCATATTTATTTTCCTTAGGAAACTATTCTTCCTCTTTTGTGTGTAATATGGCTAGAACTATCCATTTCCAGTTTTCCTCTACTGAACCAAAGCAAAGGTCATGAGATTCAAGCAGGCTAACTGGATTCCCTCTTGTAGGATATCGGAATATACACCCCAAAATATGACCCTGAAACTAGATTCGCACCCGCAGTAAATGAATATTCCTGCTTCTCTTCATCTTCATCAACATTTGATGTTGTCCAGTTTTTTTGAATTTTAGCCATACTTAATAGGTGTGTGGTGATATCTCATTGTTGTTTCAATTTGCAGTTCTCTAATGATATATTGAAGAAATTAGCATCCACCAGTTGGAATAAAAACTAGTTTAAAACTGAAAACATCTGGACAGCAGATACACAAAGAAAGATTATCCAAACTTAATCTTCCTATAAATTCAGCTGACATTAATTCTCCTAGGAATTTTCCAAATTTATTTATTTAGGTACTGGAGATTGGATCCAGGGGTACTTTATCACTGARCCACATTCCCAGACCTTCCTACTTTTTATTTTGAGATAGTCTTACTAAATAGCTGAGGCTGACCTTAAACTTACATTCCTTCTGCCTTAGCCTCCCAAGTTGCTGGGAATACAGGCATGCACCATCATTCAGGAATTTTCCTGTTTTAAAGAAGAGTGACCCTTTGTGTTCAGAAGAGCACATCTTATATAAACCTCCTTAAAAGGAAATCAGATTCACATTGTCACCCAAATGCCCTAAAGTCTGTCCTTTTCATTTTGTTCTTTTTGTTTGCCCATTTTTWAAAATTGTTATTAAATTTCCTATTGTTAGGGTTTAATAATTCTTTATACACATTGTGTAGCATTCATTTATCAGATATATTTTATGAAAATATTCTCTACCTTTTTCTGACTTGTCTTGCCACTATTTTAACAGTGTCTGTTACAGAACAGATTTTTTTTTTTATTTTAGTGAAGTCCAGCTTGTCCATTGTTTCTTTCACAGATTTTTTTTTTACATCTAAAAAAAATCATCGCCAAACTGTAGATTTTCTCATATGTTATCTTCTAGGTAATATATTTAGGTTTATGGACGATTTTGTGTTCATTTTTGTGAAAGATTTTAAATGTAGACCTATAAGATGTATAAGATCTAGAGCTATAAGATTTTTTTTCTTTCTTTTATTTTTGCACGTGGATGTCTAGTTGTCCCACTATCATTAGTTGAACTGTCAAAGATCAGTTCACTGTGTGATCCATTTCTGGCCACTCTGTTCTAGTCTATGGCCCTATTTGTTTATTCTTTCACTAATACCATACTGCCTGCTATAGTCTGGATCTTGAATACCCCCCAAAGGCCCATGTGTTGAAGACCTGGTCCCTCACCTGTGACACTGTTGGAAGATGGTAGAAACCTTAGGAGGTGAGAACAGTGGAAGGAAGTTATGTCAGTAGGAGCATGCCCTTGAAGGAGATATTGGGGCCCAGGTTCTCCTCTTTCTTTCTCTTTGCTTCCTAACTACCATGGGGTGCGGTTCACTTGAACACATACACTCCACCTTAATATACTGCCTTGCCACAGGGTCAAAGCAAGAGGGCCAACTGACTTTGAACTAGAACCTCTGCATCTGTGGGCCTAAATAAAACTGGACTCTTTCTAGGTTGATTATTTCAGGGTTTGGTCTTGTTTTGCTTTGCTTTTACGGTAACAGACAGCTGACTAATCACTAATTACTCTAGGTGTATAGTATTTTAAAGTTGGGTGCTGTTAATCTTCTTTTTGCTTCTTTTCCAGCATTGTGTTGACATTCTGGATCTTTGCCTTTTCAGATAAACTCCAGAATAACTTTGGTATTATCCTCAAGATACCTTCCTGAGATACTGACTGGGATGATGCTTAATGTATGGATTGAGTTGAGAAGAAGTAACATCATGAGAATTTTTTTTTTCCTTGTAAGTACCAGGGATTGAACTCAGGAGCACTCGACCATTGAGCCACATCCCAGCCCTATTTTGTATTTTATTTAGAGACAGAGTCTCAGTTGCTTAGCGCCTCGTTTTTGCTGAGGCTGGCTTTGAACTCATGATCTTCCTACCTCAACCTCCCAAGCTGCTGCAATTACAGGCATGCACCACCAACCCCAGCCATCATAAGAATATTGACTCTTCCTTTCCATGAATATGGGATGTCTACATGTTTATTTATTTCTTTTGATGTCTTTCATCAGATTTTTATATTTTTTCTCATATCAATCTTTTTATTTTGTTACACTTAAAACTAAGTATATCCCTTTTCTTTTTGCAATGTAAATGGTATGTGTTTTCAATTTCAAATTGTTCATTGCCGGTGCTTAATAAAACAATTAACTTTTATATATTAACCTGTGTCCTGCAACCTTGTAACCTTGTGTCTTCACTGTAGGTAAACCATAAACAGTCTTATTTTCCTGTAGATAAATATTTTTCTACAGGAAAAGCATTGGACAAGAGTGTTGTACTACTATAAGTACCCTCAAAAACAACTAATCTAGAGGCAATGTGTACAGTGGATTAGAAGGAAACAAGTCTCGAAGCTGGGAGTCCATGTAGGAAGATTTTTATTTGATTTGATCCTAGGGATTGAACCCAGTGCTGGGTCAATTTGAGGTGGCTAAGGAACAAAGCACCAGGCAACCCACACGTGAGAACCACCAATCAGGTGCTGACAGAACCACCTGTCAATTAGCAGGGTCTCCTGACCAATCCTGGATCTCAGCAAGCTCCCCCAACCAACCCCAGTAGGACAAGGGACTCTTAAAACCTACCTTTCCTGTCCCAAGCCCTTTCTTTCCTCCCTTCCTGTCTCAAGCCATTTCCTCCCTTCCTGCCTTAAGCTCAATGAAAATTCCAGTTCAGCTGGGCCCATGAGTGATTCCCTGGACCGCTCTGTTGGACTGGAGAGTCTTGCCTGGGAGAGAATCTCAATAAAGCTTTTAATCTGCCTCCTTTGGTCACCAGTGCCTGACCTTACACCCGGGAGCACTATTTGAGTCAGCTGTTTCACTTCTGTGACCGTAAAGCCTGACAAGAACAATTAAAGGCGGAAAAATTTCTTTTGGGACACATGGTTTCAGAAGTCTCAGGGCATAAATGGCCAACTCCATAGCTCTGGGCTTGAGATGAGTAGAATAGCATGGCAGAGTGTGTGGCTGAGGAAAGCTGCTGGAAACATGGCACTGGGAAACAGAGACCAAGCTCAGCTCACTAAAGATATACCCCAAAGGCGCACAACTATGACCCACCCTACCTGCCTACAATCACCACTYAGTTAATCCCTATCAGAGGAGTAATGCACTGATTAGGTTAAGACTCTCATAACCTAATCCGCTGCAAATGAACTACTGCTGAGTATTAGGTCCTGCAATTATGCATGAAGTCTCTGAGTCCTAAAATCGACAATTTGTTTACTAGGGGAAGCTGGGAGCCTGCAAAGCTGAGGACCGCTTTGTTCTTGCACAGCACATCTTTTATAGGGTAGTGTGAGGTTAAATCTTAACTATGGCATAACATTATTGAAAACACTCACTTGTTTGCTAGTACTAAGGAAACATTTTTCCYAGTGACAAAACAGGATATGTTCGCATAAAATGCCAGGAAACAGACCTCAAGTACATAGCAGGTAGAACAGTTAGTGCCTTATTTTTCTCCTTAATCAGAAGGGTCATCGTGTCCCACAAGAATTAGCCAATCGTGAGGAGTTATTGCTGTCCTGCTATGAGGCTTCAGCTAATAAAAAGAAACTCCATGTTCAGATTCTTCAGGGTGCACTCTTCATGACTTCAGGAGATCAGACCCCAGCACCAATCATTTCACCTCTAAATGTTCTTGCATTATTTTGTACATGGCCTAATCTAAACCATAACAGGCACTTTACTAGTGAGCTACATTTCCTGGTTTGAAGTTTTTTATTTTGAGGCAGAGTCTCTCTAAGTTGCCCAGGCTGGCCTCGAACTTGGGATCCTCCTGCCTCAGGCTCCTGAGTTGCTGGGATTACAGGCATGTGCCACTACAGTCAGTCCATGTGGGAAGTTTATACAAGCCTTTCATGAGATAATGAGCTTCAGAATAAGGGTATTATATAGCACCAGTGGAAAGAAAAAGAACAGATTTAAAGGCAAATATCTTCAATTTGTCCTTTTTCATGCTTATGGGTATTTTTTTCCTTTTCACAGTCTTCTCCCTTGCTACTCTTTTTGCCTAACTTCTAATTATTCCTCAAAATTCAATTTAGATGCCTTTCCTTCTACTCTCTCCCCACATCCCCTTTAATGTCCCCCATCACACTGTAAATGTTATTTATACTTATCAACTTGTACTATACTTGACTATTCACCTGTCTCTTTTTTTWAAAAAAATATATCTTTTAGTTGTAGATGGACAGCATGCCTTTATTTCACTTATTTATTTTTCGGTGGTACTGAGTATCAAACCCAGTGCCTCACGTATGCGAGACGAGCGCGCTACCACTTGAGCCACATCCCCAGCCTTCACCCGTCTCTTTTATTAGATCATGAACCCCTGAATCTGAGAGGCCTGACATCTGGCCCAGTAAACATATGCATAAACAAATAATTTATTTACATCTGTTGTTGGAATTCACAATGTTACCAAGTATGTGGCAGCTATTATATCAGATTTACATGGTATATTTTCTCTTAAAAGACTGAAAGCAAAGAGCTTCAAAAAACTGAAACCTCCAATCAAGAAGGAAGTACTAAATCCATATCAGAAAGGAATCAGTTCCTCAAACTTAGTTTTGAATCATCTTGTTTTTAAAAGTGGGCTTGCTTCCTCTATAAACAGTAATAAGACACTATTTTAAAGACAGATTTRGAAGTCTCTAGTCTCATCTTCACTGTGCAGGAGTTTTAGGTTTAGTTTCTCTTTCCTGTGGGTCAGACCATTTCTTCTTCTGCCTCACATATGCAGCTCTGGCAGACTTGAGAGAAGAGAAGCAGACAAGACCCTGTGAGCCTGAGATTAACCACTGCCTCTGTTCTCAGCAGGATCTTCAGCTCGGAACACCTGGTAAGAGGAGGAAACTCAGGGCTGAGGTGAACAGGGCTGTGAACATGGCTGGGAGGAAGTAGCTATAGATGAAGGGTAAACATTTCAGAAGGGAAGATGTAAAAAATCAGATGTCTGACATGCGAGTTGTTGAATGCATAAATGCCAGTCATCGAGAAGAGTGAGAAAAGCCCATCTAAGAAAGGGCTGCTCACCTCTCTGGGCTTCAGAGTCTTCGTAGAATTGTGAGACCTTATGTGAAAGGTTTTTTTTTTGTTTTTTTTTTTTTTAAAAAAAAAGCTATGAAATCTTAAAAGGCAAAACAAAAATCTAAATAAGAATGATTAATAGTTATTAATAACTATGCTCTTATTGCTTCTTCTATTACCATGATCTTCACTCTTCTTACACAGGAAAGATAATGATACTAAATCTGGGATGCTTTCCTCTCCTCCTAATGCTGCTGGGACTATGGAACACAGTGTGCCCACTTTGTGCTGTGCCTGAGAGGCTCACCAAGGCTCATTGGTTTGAAATCCAGCACATACAACCAGGTCTTCTCCAATGCAACAGGGCAATGGGTGGTGTCAACAATTATACTCAGCACTGTAAGCCTGAAAACACCTTCCTGCATGACTCTTTTCAGAATGTAGCTGTTGCCTGCAATATGCCCCACATCATTTGCAAGAATGGCCAGAACAATTGCCACCAGAGTGCAAAGCCTGTTAACATGACCAAATGCAAACTCACTGCAGGGAAGTATCCTCACTGTCGCTACAGTGATACTGAAGAATACAAATTCTTCGTTGTTGCCTGTGACCCCCCTCAGAAGAGTGACCCTCCCTATCAGTTGGTTCCTGTACACTTGGATAAGCTCATCTAAGGTTTTGCTCACTTTCCTCTCATCGGACACAGGTTCTCTTAAAGTTTCTTCTGCTTTGTCTATTCTTTTGTTGATTTTCTTGTATCCATGGAAGAGAAGGAAGGTGTTGGAAGAATTTGAGTATCTAGGATACCAGACTAGAGTTGGGACAAAAAGAAGTAGGATTTTTTTCTGCTTTGGAGTTCTGTCTGTTTTGAGAGAAGGCAAATAAGGAAGAGGGCAAAGCATCATCCAGGCCTACAGATTTTTAACCTTGGGACTTTTTCCAAACTTTATAAAACTACACTCACAGCAATAAAAACCACTCTTGCTGCATTCTGATGAGTGTGAAAGTGTTTTTATACCCTTTCAAATCACTGCCTGCCAGGATTCAAARAAGAACTATTTTGGTCTTAGGTCCCAGGCCACCTTGGGGCCTCTTCCACTTCCCTTGCCCCTTGTCTTTGGGACTTGAGAGCAAAAAATCCTCCATCCCTTCAAACTGCTTATGATTTCATATATTCCCTTGAAATCATTATTTATGCTTATTAGGAGGTGGTACTGATCCCTCAGAGAGAGGTGATGATTTGCACATAGATTTTAACATTGGTGACTGAGGGTTTCTTTGATCTTTTCTATTTGTTTTTACATTTAATTGGGCAATATTTTAAATATAAGGTATCAGTAGTATCTTTTGGACTAGGCAAAAAGAAAGCATAGATCAAGATAAAAAGGCACTGGAATATAAAAACCCTTCTAGGCTTACCTAAATACCAAAATATCACAGAAAATTGGGTTTGAGAATTGAATCTGAATTTGGAAACTGAAGGATTGGTTTTAGAAATTTGTTCAGATTAAGAATTAAGGTCTTAGGTCACATACACAAAGGGACCTTCAGTTCCTCAACAACCTCCAAAGTAAGGTACCGGACTAGGGAGCCAAGTATGTTAGAAATGCTTTGTAGAGTGATCAGTGTTTTAATAGCAGCCAAGACCATGGAGATTGGAAAAATCACTTACAGAAGTAGTTAAAAGTGTAAGAATTACTTTTGGTATAGAATGATTCTTTCCAACCACACAGTTACTTTAATAGATGTGTTAAGTGAGCTCACTTTCCTTTAGGCCATGTGTATAATTGTGRTTTAGGAACAAAGAATGGAGTAAGATGTTTCAGGTTTCAGGAACCTGGATTTCTTGGATGATGGATGTACAAGGAGGGTCCCCCATTGTGAAGAGATTATCAGGCCAGGGCAACACAACACCAAAGAAGCTGGGTACCCAGTAGGGAAACCCACAGAGGGACCCAAGTCCTCTAACACAGTGGATTTTAGTAGTATTCAGCTTTAAACTGTCTTGACTATATATATTTTATAGTCTCCCAGTAAAGTCTATGAGGGAGTGGAGGGAAGGTTCTGTGCTCATGTTAACCAGTATAGGAAAAGAAGAACCATTTATAAGAAAAGATATTCAGATGATATGTGTTGGTCGGAGCAGTAATCAGAATGGATTTATGCCCCATATCAGCATTACCTGGAACTTTCTAGAGATTCTTGAAGAAAATAAACCTACTAAAAAATTGAACTTCCCAGTATCAAACACCTAATTGCTCACACTATTATTTGTTTTGTTTTGTTTTTGTTCTAGAGATTGAACTCAGCAGAGCTTTACCATTGAGTCACATTCCCAGCCCTTTTTACATTTTATTTTGAGACAGGGTCTCACTGAATTGCTTATAACCTGACTAAGTTAAGGCTGGCTTTGAACCTGTGATCCTCCTGCCTCAGCCTCCCATGCTGCTGGATTATAGGCATGTGCCACCACATCCAGTGCTCACACTATTGTTTATACATTAAAAACACTTCATGGCTTGGATACATATGTGCTGCTCAAGTTTTGGGGCATTTAGAAATGTTAGGGAACATGAAATGTTAGTTAAAATTAGTGAAATAAATTTTGAGGTCTACATTGGATTTTTTTTCTGTGACAATAAAAATACTGCAAATATGTTCCAACAATAGATTAAAAATAAAACACAAGGGGCTGGGGTTGTGGCTCAGTGGTAGAGCGCTCGCCTAGCACATGCGAGGCCCTGGGTTCGATCCTCAGCACCACAAAAAAATAAATAAATAGAATGAAGGTACTGTGTCCAACTACAACTAAAAAATAAATATTTAAAAGAAATAAAACACAARTACCATCTTTTGGAGATTTACAGCCAACAATATCTAATCTTTCCCAGCCTCCCATCCCCACCAACAACCKTTGTCACTTTGGGTCTCTTGTCAAGGAGGGGGCAAAAACAAAACTAACTTTTGAACAATCTATTATGCCCAAACTCTTAGAAGGTGTTAGTTCTAAAATGTGAAATAACTAAGATGGAACTCTTTAGATTTGCTTATTTCCTACATAGATTTATATATTGTAGAAGAGTAAAGATGATTGGCTACACAGAAGTTCATTTAGCTGTGTCCCTAGATTCACTTAAATCACCAGTCCTTTGAGATGATCTCAAAGTAGGCAAAGCCCAAAAATGATTTCAGCAAATGTTCCAGCCCTTCTTAACTCTGGCTTTGCTTTATATTCACCCGGGAGATTTTAGAAAAATAACATTATGGACTGAATATGAGATGTTCCCCCAAAGCTCCTGTATTAATGAAGCAATGTTTAGAGGCAAAGCAATTAGACAGTAAGAACTGTAACCTAATCAGTCCATCCTAGTTTGAATGGACTGACAGGGTGGAAACTGTAGGCAGGTGGGGTGTGGCTAGAGGAGGTTAGTCACTCAGGGTATAACCTGGGAAGGATATTCTTCACGTGACTCCTCTCTCTCTCTCTCTCTCTCT